GATGCGAAACTAATTTTTTTTTATCGGTACTACGTTTTGGTCATTTTTCATACATTTTTGATCGAAAGGTGAAAAAATTTACGAATTTTTCGAAGTTTTTAGGAACTTTTTATATCTTAAAACTGTGTCAAATGCTAGGAAAATGGTTCATATTTTGTTATAGAGCCCTGCCGGGTTAATGGGAAGAATTAGTCCCCCCTGCTAACAGTCCAGTACCCGTCCTATCTTTACGCAAACAAGACGCGGGCATACAAAAATAGACTTTTTGTTCGTATATCAGAATTTATCGTGAAAAAAGTAGTCGTAACTTCACTTCTACGCAACAGGAAAATTATTGTTGATGAATAAAACTGTGAAGGGCCGTTGCTGCCGCTGAAGATGTTCGTCTCCGTTCCCCACCAATCTCGAAAGTTGGGTCGCAACGCTTTTTCGCTGAATTCTTCCGGTTCCCCGAACAAAGCCTTGCGCCAAAACGCATAAAGTCCGTGGTGCTGAAAATGTCAAATTCGTTTCGTTTCGCCGGAAATCATTTTGTGAAATTCATTTTGCCTAAATTTTCGATTTCTCGAAATTTTCCCGAAATTAAGTTTCAGACATTGACCTTTTTGGCAAAATGAATTTGGAAAAAATTATTCCAAAAGGATGTTGGCGAAACGTTGGCAAACTGAAAGCTAATCCTGAAAAGCTCATCCCGATTACCGTTACAGTATGATGGGCCTACCATCTTCGGAGGTTCTGCGTAATTATCCCAACCATCGTCCCATCCAAGCAACCCGACGGATTTAACGATTCTTTTCAGTCTTTTCGAAAACTGACGCTGAGATCCTCCCTAAAGCGGACTGGTTCAGAAAACGACGTAATAAACACCAACCTGGACCTCTTTGGAAGGTCGATAAAATATTCGAGATCGACCACCATATAGAAGATTCGCGTTTGCTCTCCTTGGGGTGGATGCTAAACGGAGCGTTACAAGAGATCGGACGGCATCTGTTGAACCCCCCTTGGGGAGCGGGGGTTCAACAGGTCCCCGGCGAGTTCGCGCGAGCCAGGGCTCCCCAGGGAGAGGCGCAGAGACATTTTCTTTTCCTCGCGTAATCGATTGACATATGCCGCCCCTATCTCTTTAAGGCATTGGTATTTTTTAATGCCGCGTAAGTTCCTATTAATCCTATATTGTCTCTATCACTCTCTCGATCCTCCTCTCTCACTCTCTCACTCTATCGCTATCTCTCGCAAACCGTACCTTACGAATAGAAACTTGAGGGAGCGCCCAGAGGCCATCCAGAACTGGTTCTATCTCATTTCGACCATGAATATAGGGCCCCAGCCCCAACACAGGCAACCGAACAAGCTGAAGCTTAACAAGGCTGAGAAAGTAGAAGAGGAAAACACAAATGCTTACGATTTCGAAGATGCTTACCTTCTTTGCCCACTGGCGCAACTCCGGAGGTGGAAAAACCGCTATCGCGAAACCGGTCAAACCACTCTGCGACATTTTTTTCGTTCTAAACCCAACATATGTACACAGGCCCTAGACTGTTAGCGGGGGTTAGCAGGAGGAAAAGTAATTTTTCTTCGTCTATTCCTTCCTGTTAATAATAACTAATGCATTTTATATTTTTGTCGTGGCTTTGATTGGTAGAAAGGTACAAAAAAATATTTAGAATTTTTGAAGTCTCGAAAATTTGTACCATTTTCATACATTTTTTGACCAAAAAAGTTTTTTTTAGTTTTGATATGTAAAAATTGCATAAATCCTATAAAATGGGTTACATTTTAATATAAGAACGTTCTGAATAACCGGCGAGAATTAGTTCCACACGCTAACAAACCGGTACCGAAATCCGAACGTTATCGTTATATGCTCGAAGCCCTGGAGGCAAAACTTATTTCGTAAGAAATCGTAAGATCAACCAGGTAAAAAATAAAAGAAAGCGCTTACAAAGTCGGGCCTCTTACGAAGGCAGGACATGATGCTTGCCACACGTGTGATGCTTAACTAAAATTCCGGTAGCTATTATACAGGGTGTCCCAAAAAAGTCCCCCTCTAGCGGTCCACAGTGATGTCCGATTTTGACGATTTAGGTATCTATTGAAAACTCTCGACGAGCTGAGGAGATCTGTTCTTTCCGATTTTCGAAATTCCCGAATTTTTAACCCGATTTTTTTCGTTTTTGGGATTAAATCAGACATGGCAATCGGCCGGGCCGCGCGGCTTTTTCGGCCGCAAAAAAGCGCGGCTCGGCCGATCGGAATTGCCATGTCTGGATTAAATTACGCAATTTTGTGCAAAAACTCAATTGAGTCGGTTTCAGTCCCATCCAAGCTGTGTTTTATAAAAGTTTGCCTCTCAAAGAGCCGACCAGGCTGGCAGGAAAAGATGTCCCGGTGGAAAATGGAGTTTTTGTTAAAAACTTGCATGGGAAAAAGCATCGAAAATTCAGCCAATTTCGCAAAATGTTAGTAAATGTCATAAAAAATTGGGAGTTTCGGAAATCGGAAAGAGCATATCTCCTCAGCTCGTCGAGAGCTTTCGATAGATACCTCAATCGTCAAAATCGGTCATCACTGTGGACCGCTAGAGTGGGTCTTTTTATGGGATACCCTGTATTCGAAAAGCTGCGCATCCGTACCTGGAATGTGTTGCTGCCCAGGGCTATGTAACGGCGTTGTGCATCCGGAAGTCTTCTTATTACGACCGAAAATCTGCTTCCATCAGCGTGGCCCCACCGTTGCGCGTTAAAATTGAAATTCTGGTTATAGGCTCTCAGCTTTTCGAGGAGCCGGAACCATGTCTTCGAATCCCCGACCACCGTCAACTCCCTGCAAGCGACAAATAAGTTCTTTCGCATTATCGGGGAGGGGACATTTTTTAAAATATAGGCCTGGAAATTTAATAGGAAGTTTTTAATAGCTTATTTTGATTTTGTCGATAGGTAATTTTGTAGGCATTTCAATGCTTTTTTCGCCTCAATTATTCGCCTCAAAATCGAAATTTCAGCACCTTGAATTTCGGCAAAATGGTTTTCGACAAACTGATAGCAAACAATAACATAAAATTATAACAAACTATTCTTAAACCGAAAAACTCCGAAAAATGTCGAAATTCTGATCACAATCGGCCGTTTTTTGTCGAATAATCCATATTTTTATATTTTGTGAATAAAAATTTGTGAAAGTACTGACCGGTTCTCATTCCTGATCTTATTTTCCGATCTGAGATGGATCGAGCGCTCGGGATCCCAACTGTATTCAATTATAAACTCGACTCCTGGCTCGCATTCGATGTATGCCCGCCATGTCTGTAAACCAAAACATCCTTTTGCCAATATTTCGTTACCATCCGTCGTTCCAGAGTCATCGAACACACCGGACCAGACAGGAGTCGGCTGCCGGGTGAAGCTACCCCAAAGAACACCTTGAAAGTTGATGTTCTATTTCCAGCGGGGGGAAACTGTGCGGGGGATTTTCGGTTACCTACTTCTTTTTTTGGTATAGCTTTTTATATAAGACGCCATTATCAGTAATTAAAATTAATTTATAAATAAAATTCTTCGTTTGTATTTTTGGCGCGCTAACGAATGAGGCTCATGAAAATTACAAAAATTTCGTAAAAAATATAGAAACGTCGAAAACGAGGTTTTGAATGTAAGCTCCCACGTGGAAATCTCGTTTAAAGCTTGTTGTTACGACAGCTATTTTTTCGTTACGCTTTTTTGGTGATGAAATTCAAACTTTTCGTAGTTTTCGAGGCTGCATCGAATGACGTCTGCAAAAGCTCGAAAAAATCGCTAAAATACCGAACACTAGCATTCCAGTGGGTTTCAAAAGGTATTTTTGTTTTGTTCGAACTATTTAGGACAATTGATCCCGCATCGTTTTCCCCACACTCGAACTAGAACAGGAAAAAGGAAAAGCTTTGATTTTACAAAATATAAAAATTTTTCCTTTTTTGGGTTGGGAAAAATGAAAGGGGCCCCTTTTTTTTTTAACCCCTTATCCGAAAAAAATTTATTTTTAATAAAGAGGGGGAGTTAAAAAAAAATTTATTTTTAATGAAAAAAAGAAAATTTAATAATTTGAAAAAATAGTATTTCTTTTTTTTCTAAAGAAGGAGAGAAAAAAAACCCAACCCCACCTTCTTTTTTTTTTATTAATGGAAAGAGATTTGGGAGAAATAAAAAAAAAAAAAAACAAAAAAAAATTTTTTTTGATATACCTTATTAACGGCCCGAAAACGATACTTTGCATCAGGGTTCAACTTGCTATAGATTTTCCTCAATAAAAGTGAGGGAAGATCCTTCACGGCAAATTTGTCTAGCATGTTTTCTGAAAGCAAATCAGGGATTGATTTATTGCGCTTCTACTAAGGTTAAACCATTCAAAATCATACCTTTAAAATTAATTTATTGGTCAGGAAGAACTTGGAAAATTATGATCATCGCGTATGGGTAAATAGCAGGCGACTTGGGAACCCATCTGTAGAAGTACCCCCAGGTGTTGTTTTCTGGGTCAAAATCGCGGAACCATCCTAAGCGGAAATTTAGATCGATATCGATTTAAAAAGCCCGCATTAGAATTTCGCTCTGGGCACATTCGAACCGCCTTGAAACGCTGATTCTGGTGTGCTAACTGGCATGGTATACTGGCATACTAAGAAACTGACAGTAATCCGCGCTTCTTCGGTATTCGTAAGCCGGTGTGCTTGTATTCAGCCGTATTTAATAGCGGATCGATTTTCGGATTTTATGACCTAATCTTTATCTCACGCTAATAAGACACTGACACACAAAAAACACATAAATCGATCAAGTGCGGTATGACAAGGTATTGAGGCCCAATTCAGAGGATGAGACAAAAAAAATCAACGATTCCAAGCAACAAGGCATACTCTCTGATTGAAGCCGGGGAGTGAGTTCATAAGCCGTTTCTAGACTCAAACATACAAAAATAGGTACATACAGATTAGCACAGTTTTGCAATGATTAGCAGCTTTACTACCAGAACGGGCACCATCCCACGTAACATTGGCACAGATTTTCGGCGTTTGTGGCCTCTTCGACGAGCTTGTTGAACTGCTCGACGACGTTGTACTCGCGCTCCGGTTCGAAGTCGTGCCCTAGGCAAGCCATTGTAATGTTTAGGCACCTTTACCGATGAGTTTGCTCTTGATCCGCTCGACAATTTTTCGAGCCGACTCTTGACTGAGCCCTTCGTCCTTGACCATCTTGGAAATGTCCTGCTTCTCGGCGGGGTTCCGTCGTTGCCGGTTCACTAAATGGAAAATAGTTATATTTAAGTTTAAAAAGGTGATTTTGATCTCTTTAATAAAAATCGTAAGCTTTGACGTTTAAAAAAGTAAAAAAAAAGGTTTAGAAGCACTTCCAATATTTATATTTGAAGAATAAGATCATAAGAAAGAAGTTGCCCCCCCCCCGATAACGCAAAAGATCCTGATTTTTTATTATCAGCCACACACCTTCCAACAACCGCCAGTTGATGTTCGGGTCATTGACGAAGGCCTCAAGGACGGCGAGCAGAGAATCTTTGTTCGCACGCAAAAGACCGAGCACTCGCTCCGAAGTATGACGATAGTTACCATTAATGCCGCAGACTTCCATCGCCTGCAATGACCATAAAAATACAATTTCTATAGCCGACCTTGATGAGCATGCGCGTCAAGCGGAAGGGGATCTTTTCCGGGTATTTCTCCCGGGACATGGCCACCTCGAAGCAGTCGCCAAAGTCGATGTGCACAATCTTGCCCGTTAGCCGGTCGAGCATCAGATTTGAGGGGTGGCTAAAATAATTGTAGTCGAGACAAAAATGGCACCTACCGATCGCCAAGCCCCAGAATGTACCCAACCATGCTCATCACGGCCATCGAGCGGGTGTAATTCGTGCGCCGGTCGAACCAAACTTCGGAGCTAAAAAATGGAGCTAAAATGGTTCCTTGGCATTAACGGGGGGGGGGGGACTTTCTTATGGTCTGATTTTTCAAGTATAAATACTGAAGTGTTTCTACAAGGTTTTTCTATTCCTCCACGAAAATTGAAATGAAAACAAAATTTATGACAAGAATGACGATTTTTCTACCAAAAATGGCCATTCGTTACCAAATGTCGACTTTTTAAAAGTTTTTTTTAACTGTTGAAATATTGTTTTTCCGACTAAAAACGCTATTAAAATCCTGCGGATTAAGTTATCAGACATTTCTAGAGTCATACAAAAGCCCCCGAAAATGCCAAAGATCCAAAAATATTCTCATTCCATATTGGAACACAAACCTGGGACTCTTGAGCCACAAAATCTTCTGCAAATCATCGCCGCTTGTCTTTGCGAGGGCCAGGTTGAAAAGTTGCACCTAAAGGCGAAATTTTGAGAGGATTTTTGCCGTACCTTCTGATCGAGCGGCAGCGTCTCCAGATCTTGCGCGTTGGCTTGCATTTCTTTGTGTTCCGCAGATAGCGAGATCTAAATTTCAAGTATAAACATTCATCGAAATTAGGCAAATCTCACCTTCTTCTTTTCGCGGTACTCCTTGACGAGCGTGTGCAGCGTGTCGCAGTTTGGCACCCAGCCGATCAGGCCCGAGTTTTGCGAGAGGGCAATGATGGAATAGCGCTAACCATTTGGGATTGCTGAACTATAAAAATCTTCAACACCTGAATGGCAAGATTCGTGCGTCCGGTTTCTTCATTTTTCGCTAGCATGGCGTTAACCAGTCCGAATAGCTGCATGACACGCTCGTCCTGGCGCGGGTCTTCGTGCCCCTTTAGCAGGAACATGTAATCCCGTCCGTTGCTGCCTAAATATAAATATTAACGTGATTTTTCGCGTAAACTACCTCTCATCTGCATTTTCCTCGGCTTTTGCTTGCTGCTGATGACGGTCAGCAGGGTGTCGACGTAGCTGATGCGGACAATGTCCTCGTCCGTTTGTGCTGGGTCGTAGGTGCCGGGGACTGAAAGTGAGGTGTAATCCCCGCGTCCAGATTCTTACCCGAAATGGAGAGATCTTTGGCATTCTTCAACTTTGGCGACACGTACGTCAGGTCCAGGGAGGTCAGTTGTCGAAGTTGACCCTATAAAGCAGCCTATTTTGAGGCAGCCATAAAACGTACTTGAATCCGCTTGAACACGTTGATGTAGATTTCCCAGGCCTGTGCCAGCTCTTTTCGGTCTTGGCCAATGCGGTAGGCGTTGCAGAACTTGAGCGCGTCCGTCAGATCGGCGAAGTAGGTTTGAACAAACGAGTGTTCCTAAACAAAGGCATGGTAATTTTAATGGATTTCCACGATTTTACCTTGATCGTCATCGGGGCCGTCTTCAGCCTTTGGTGCATCGGGTCGAGGGTTGCCAGGAAACCGGGGATGTCGTTCTCCTGGAAATACAGCCGGCTCGCCTCGTCCAGGGCTTCGTTCCACTGTTCGTGCCAAAGGATAGCGCATCGAACGAGCTCCTCGGTGACGAGCTTCGCCTCTTCGGCCAGCTTGTTGTGCTTCGGGGACATGTCACCTAAAATTATAGCTACGCCAAGCACCAAAAGACGCACTGAATAGCGTGAACAGCTCCAGCCCATTTTCCGAACCACTTGATTTTGCAGCGACCGTGATTGGGTAGACGAGGGCCTGTGAAAATGAAATAAAACGAAGCTTGAAGTTCGGATACCTGCGGATACACCTTGCTGACGTCGAGGATGACCTGCTTGACGATGCCAGCATTCCGCGCCTCCCTCGTGTCCTGCGAGTTCTTCGCCTCCAGTCGAGCGATCAATTGAGGGACAGCCTCAAGCCACATCTCTGGGGGCAACTTCTTCCAGCCCGTTGCGCAACTCGGTGGGCAACGTCTCGGTGATGTCGAAGAGCAGTGCCATAAGTCGAAGCGTGTCTTCGAGCCGTGATCCCTTGGCGAGCTTCAGGGCCTCGATGAAGGAGGAGATCGAGTGCAGGGCGAGCTGCTTGATGTTGTTGCGCAGCTCGGCGACAACCTTCGCAGCAGGAGTCGCGCCAGTCTGAAAAAGGCGGTTCGGAAGAGGTAGGAAAGGCTTGCCTGGAACGTGATGGGCGGTGGTTGGGTCGAAGGGCCTGGTTGGCCAGAATTGTACGGCAAATTGGGAGACAGGGCGCCAGGAACATTCGCTAAAAGAGGAGTTTATATTCGAAAGCTTGACGCCTACGTTGATCTTCAGGAATACTTCCCGCTGGTGCGCTCAAGGAGCCGTGAAGATGGGCCTAAAATCGAAGCAAAATAATTTTAATGCCCTTTCGTATCATCGAGAAACAAATTTTTTTATAGAAGTCTAGGAATGCCCAATAACTTAATAGGACGCAGCTTAATAATGTTTTTAGAAAACTAAAACTATATTACAACCAAAAAACCCTTTCAAAAATTTTCAAAAAGTGAAATTTTGGTAAAAAATGGCCATGTCTGGATCAAAAAAATCGATATTATTTCTATTTTTTTAATTCTAAAAATATCACCACGCGGAAGGTAGTTTAAAGATATATTTCCGAGTACCTGGCCACCAGCCGAATTCGTGACGGCTAGAAGACGCTCCCGTTCCCTCTGTAGCGTCGCGTAGTAGGTGATGGCGAGACGGTGCCATGCCTAGATAAAATTAGAACGCTTCCCTAAACTCGTCTACCTTGTGCCAGCTGGGGTCATGCTGCACGGCGGCTTTTCGGTAGAGCTGAATGACGGTTTGGGAGAGGTGGCGCTCGTTCTTCATCCTCGACATCGGTTCGGCCTGGGCCAACAGCTGGGCCAATGCTCCTTCAGAAGAGCCGACCTAGACGGCAAAAAGTAAGAGAGATTGAAAAAATGATACCGATTGCTTGGGATAAGAGTTGTTCTCAATATTTCGTAGTCCTTCCGCGTACGTCCATTCGCCAAGTTTCACGAATACCTGAAAAGCGGTTACTTTTAAAATGTCGAAAATCGTATTTATAAAAAAATTCATAATTTAAATTTTTTAATTTTTTTTAATCGAGGCGAAAAAAGGCTTTAAAATTTGGATAATATACGCTTTTCGCCAAAACACGAAATGAAAATAACCCGTTTTCGAAAAAATGACAATTTCGACATAATGTCATTTCGAAATTAGCTCGCAATCGGCCGACGAGATTTTGACCAACCTTTGCCAATGTTCTCCGCTTTTGCGTGGGCATTTCCGTAGTGGCCGTCCTTTCCAAGTGTCGAGACTAAAAGCAGTTTCCAGATAAAAAAATAAAAAAAAATGTTTTTACCAATGCATCCAGTGTGGCCACCGCCGACCCGTGCAGCCCATCAGCCCACAGCTGCTTACAGAGGGCCATCACCAAGTTTGGTTTATCCTGGGGCACAGAGGCGGTGTGAAGCTCGGCTCGGGGCGGGATACCTGCAGAACGATATTTTTAATAACGTTTTTATTTCCATTTAAAGTTTATTTTTAACAGCAATTTTAAAACACGAATATATCAAATTCCCCTACCTAATAGACTGCGCAAGACATCCTTGGCCATGTCATGACGCCCCTGACGGCGGCACAGCGACGCAAACTTCACCTTGAGGGGAAGAATGTGATTTGTCGGCATGACCATCTCCTGAAAACAAGTACAGGTAAGCAAGTTATACCCGGGTAATTTAGTAAATAAGGAATTGCGTAATTAAGTCAGTAAAAATTACCGTAAGAACAAGGCGCGCTGCCACTGCTCGACGTCTTCCTGGCAATCGAGCAGCCGGCGAGACCAGAGCAGCGAGATACGAAGTCGCCGATCTTTGCGGACTAAAAACGGTTCCAATACCAAAGAAATACGAATTTACCTCGATACTCGATAGCCTCCTCCAGCTCGGCAAGTTGCTGGATGAGCACCATGGCTCCGTACGCCCTCTCGTAGCTCTCGCCGGCCAACGCCGTCAACTCCGTGTCGTACATGTCTCGAACCTGGTAACACAAAACTAGAATCTCGTAGAATCTCGAACCTTATCAATCAAAAACGTCGCCTTGCGGAATTCTTGATTTCGCACGGCCAGCACGGCCCTCAAATACGAGCCATCTTGCGTGTTCGGGGACACCATCTCGACGAATTGGGCCATTTTATCGAGTTGACCTGTAGATGGGCAAAATAGTTGGAAAAAATAGCTATTTTTACCTTCCGCCCACGCTCCTCTTGCTGCCATGACGGCAATCTTCGGGTTCGCCGTCGCCTTCTCAAACGACGCCATCTCGTTCAGGTCCTTCCATCGGCCGAGGGCCTCCAGACATCGCATCTCGTACTGGGCGACCAGGGCTTGGTTTGGCTCTTTCTAAAAAAGTAAATTAAGTCGGTTCTGCCGCATTATCAGGGGGGACCAAAAATTTTTTGTATAAATCTAGAAATGCCTTGTAACTTAAAGAGAAATATTTTAGTAATGTTTTTAGTGATAGAAAACTATATTTCAACCAGAAAAAAAATTGAAGTTTCAAAATTTTTTCGAAAACGCCGACTTTTTTTTTATTGAAATTAATGCTTTAAAAAACACTGCCGCTATTTATACTAACAAAACGGAACTAATTTTAGTTGCGCATAATTTTTATACCTGATAAAACTCGAGGGCCTTTTCCCAGTCCTGCAGCTTCTCGTACCATTTCCCCTGGAGGACCGCTTGGATTCCATGCTTTTCAGCGTATTTGACGACGCCAGCCGCCTCATCGTGCACGTTCAATTTGTTGGCGTACCTGAAAAGGGCAAAAACTGCATAAAAATTGGGATTTTACGTGATGAGGGCTTGGCAATCTTCAGGGGTCACCGGGTATCGTTTCGCAATTTTCCGCTCGATCTCGATTTCCTGAAGTAGGAAATTTTTTGGTCAAATTTTTTAAAATCACCTTGTATCTGAGGGCCTTTGCATAAGCACGGGTGCCTTCGGCGGCACTTCCAAGCACGTGATACGGGATCGGCAATGGGCCTTTCTCAGAGTGGTCCATGAATTCGGCGAGGTTGAGGATCGTCTGCACAATGTCCGGCTGCCCACTGTTCCGCAGGGCATTTTCCAGGTTTTTCGTCAACTAAAATCGAATTAAGGAATTACTGTAATTTTTCCTAAATTCATTTTTCTTGATTTATTTCGTTATGCTGATTTTATTACGCTTTGATACGCAAAAATGGCAGCATCTGTCCTTTTTTGCTCTCTTGACGCACCGCGATCTACATGACAATTCCAGGAAAACCGCTTTTTAGGGAAAATAAATTTAGAAAAATTAGGAAAAATTAAAGTGAGCCGCCAAAAATCACCTCATCCTGGTGCGGTTGGCTCAGCTCGGTCCAGACGGACATGAAAGCCGCGTTGAACAGATCCTTGGCCAAATGGGGGTGAGATCGGTGGAGTGGAGCGGCACCTCTCAGCGCAGCGCTGCTACTGAAACGAATTTTCGTCTAGAAAAGGCTTGTAAAAGCGCACCTGAGCCTGAGGCAAGCCGAGCGCAGCTTCGTCAACCATTGCGACCAGTCCTCGCGATTCACCAGGGTTTCCGTCTGAATCGATGGCTTTATACAACAAAAACAATTACGAACCATCCAGTTGGGGCGGACGAGCTCGGCGCTGAACTTTTGCTTCTTGACCTGGACGGGTTGGCGGCGCGTCATCTTCGACCGGCCCTTCGAGTGGTCAAACTGTGATGGTGGTAGGGGATTCGGGGCACACGCCGTGCCAGCCATCTGTAAGAAAAATGGGTTCTTTCGCATTATCGGGGGGGGAGGGGAGGATTTTTGAAAATTAGAATAGAATTTTTTAAATTAAAATAGCGGACCTGTTTTGTTGCATTATACCTATAAATTTTGATTAAAAAAAATCCAAAAATATCGATTTTCGACAGAAAATTGGCTGTTTTGACAGTTTCGACTTTTGAAAGTGTTTTGATAGTACTAGGTATTTTTAGACGTATAAAAAATTTGAACCCCCGTTAATACGAAAGCACCGAAAAATGTAATAAATCGGCCAAGCGTTCCCTTACATGCTTCAGCTCGTGGTCCATCATCGTGAACGTCAACCGGTCATACTCGGGGCATTGCAGGTTGTACTTCAGCATGGGCAATGTCGACGCTCGTCCGGTAGACGTCAAAGTGGCGCCACATCTAAATAGCATTATTTTAAGGAACTAGGACTTTAAACAACCTGTCCGGCGACAACAACAAGTAGCTTTAGCAGCGGCTTTTGCAGGGGAGACGACATCGACACCACGTAGCTGGGCTTGCATCAGGCGGGGCGCAAATTCGGAGACGTCCTCGCTTTCGGCTAAAAAGCGGGTTTAAACGATTGCTATGATAATGTCGAAATTCCATAGCCCCGAAATTTCAGAATGCCGAATTTCAACACCGTCGAAGTCTTTCACAATATTTTGGGCAATTTTCCTGGAGATTGGTACATGTAAATTTAGATATTCCCCAATTTTCGACACTAGTCAAATTTAGACATTTATGAAATTCCGCAACCAATTTCGATCTTGAAAGTAAACCACTTTAGGCAAACCCTCGATTCGGTGGGAGATATTAT